TGATCCAGAAGTTCCCCTGCCTTATATATATATATCTTAACAGCACGAATGATGAATTTTTCTTAACAGTAACATTAGGAGATAATATTTTTAGTCATGCATTCTTAACAAAATGAAATAATTCATTCATATTAAAAAAAGAAATTCCGAAAACCACACATCCGTATAAGTTACGTCATTTTTATGTGTGAATCACAAGCATTTTAAGATAAATTCCTGTCGTATAAATTCTTCAGGAAAACACGTGTTGAACCATCAAATCTCTCACATAATTCTTTTCATAACTCTTCCATCATTTTACGTGCTGTGTTTTCCTGAAACGAGCCTCTTTAATTTTCCCGCCAAACTGAAGGAAAAAAGTCGCCAAACTATGACCTGTTGACTGCGAGGCCCACTTTTGAGGATGGTTTCTCTTTTGAATGATATCGTCATGGTTGAAGCAGCGGGGAAAAAAAACGCGAAGTAAATTAACATAAGAAATAAAATAGACTAGCTTAGCTACGTGTGTGTGTGCTCGATACCATCAGTCAGTTGTGTTTGGAGGGTGGTTGAGGAATGTTTTGAATCGAACGCTTCCAGATTAAGAGTTGTATTTGCTTGTTGTTTATTGGCTCGGCGTTTATTTTGTGACAAACTTTGACAGCAAGACCGGTAAGTAGTTTTGTTTGAAAATATTTCGTGTTGTGATGACTTTTTTTGTTCTTTTTAATTAAAATTAATCAATGAAACTGGATGTATTAGTATCGTATATAATGTTTGAGTTGATAATTATCACAGATTTAGGGGATCAACTTGATAGCATTCAAAACTCCGCTTGCTTTTTTGTGTGTGAATATTATGACTTATAATTAATATCTTAATTTTATTTCTCTAAACGAATGTTATAACTTATAAATAATATCCTAATTTTATTTCTCTAAACGAATGTTATAACTTATCATTAATATCTTAATTTTATTTCTCTAAACGAATATTATAAATTATAATTAATATCTTAATTTTATTTCTCTAAGCGAATGCTATAACTTATAATTAATATCTTAATTTTATTTCTCTAAACGAATGTTATAACTTATAATTAATATCTTAATTTTATCTCTTTAAACGAATATTATAACTTATAATTAATATCTTAATTTTATTTCTCTAAACATCAGCAGTATCTTGTTTCAATGATTAACATCTTGTTTTTTTGTTTTGATAATTTGACGTGTTTTAGAAGGATTGTTATTACTTATTTGATATGCTTGAAGTTTTTAATTTAAGATTATAATATTTTTTAATCTTATCAATTTAGTTTAAGATTATAATATTTTTTAAAAATTTATTTTTTATTTTATTCGACAATTTGTTAGTAGTTGAATAAAGCTTCTTTTTAAAACTTATTTTATTTGTTGTACAGTTGAATTTTTAACATATTTTCGTAAGATATAATATTTTATTTTTAATTATAAGCTGATGAATTTGATAAATCGCTTATAAAATTTTAGTTCATAAAATTTAAGTAAAATTTCAAAATATCGCACAATTTTCGAATTGGTTTCCTTTAGTCTACTAGCAAGCATGAACATTTATGAATGAATGATTATCAGGCCTGAAGCCAGAATTACTATTTAGGTGGGGGCCACCATAAATGGGGGGCATCATTTATTTTTTAATTTTTAACTCTTTTTGGTTTACATTTGTTTTTATATTTAATGTATCACCTATATCTGTTTATTAAAAATATGAGCATAAACAGATACATTAATTATAAGAATACATAATTAGTATAAATATTAACTTCATTTGATAAAATTTAATTTTTTTGAAAATTTTCCAGGGAGGGCTTTGAACATCTTTTTAAAAGGGCTCAGCCCCACATACTTCTTCCTTGGCTATGGATCTGGTATAAAAAGTTTTTAAAGTCACATTTGAAAACATTGGAGACAAATGAGCTATTATATTGTTGATTTTCGATATTTTTTCCAATTATTCAACTTGGAGCTGCGCCTCTCAATGAGGTAAACCGGGTTCGAATTCCAGCGATGGCTGGTTAACGTGAATTCTGCAACCGGCTCGCACCGACCACAGTGCTGACGTTAAATACCCTCAGTGGTAGACGGATCACGGGTTAGAGTTCCCTTACCGTTAGAATAACCGTGTGAGTATTCGTGGATTTCTTCTCCATGTAACGCAAATGCGGGTTAGTTCCATCAAAAAGTCCTCCACGAAGAGAAATTTCTCCCAATACTTGATCTAGGAGTTTTCTTGTCTTCTTGATCCGGTTCAAAATTACCAGGCTACGGAGTTGAACATTGGTTGTAGTAAACTAAAAATTAGGTCGGTTGATCAATGACAGTTATTAAATAAAATGATTCACCTTAGATTTTAAAAGTTTTTTATTTATTTAACATAGGTTTCAAGAGATTCTTAAACAATTTTCTATAGGAACCTGTTTTTACATTTGATCTAACTTGCCATTTTTAGGTTTAATTTATGATCCAGCTCGACGGGACGGGTGAATATTTTCGTCAGGGGTCCACATTTAAAATTCTTCTTCCCATATGCTTTCATTCTCATCCTGCCTTTTGTACTTTACTTTTTTTTATTTTTTATTTCTTTCTCTTTTTATCCTCTGTGACTTTTTTCTTTACTTTATCATTTTTACTTCAATTCTACCTACTTTACGGGCGTATACTCTTACTGATTGATAATACATATGTTTTGTTTATGGAATTTGGAATACTAATTTTTCATTCTGATACTCAAATGATACAGTTGGATCCGCAATGGCTTAGGGGTAGAGCGTTCGGCTTCCAACGAGGTGAACCAGGTTCGAATCCCAGCAATGGCTGGTCGATACGAATTCCGCATCCGGCTAACACCGACCATAGTGCTGATGTGAAATATTCTCAGTAGTAGACAGATGTCATGTGCTAGAATCCCTTTGCCGTTTGGCTATGTGTGGGAAATTTTGGTGGTTCTCTCCATGTATCGCAAATGTGGGTTAGTTCCATCAAAGAGGCGATGGTTTGTTTGTCCCAATGTTGGTTTGTTTGTTGCTTGATCCAGAAGTTCCCCTGCCTTCTTGGATAGGTTCAAAATTGGTACGCTACGAAATTGAACATGAATAGTCGAAAACTCAAAATTGGGTCGGCTGTTCAACACCGGTTATAAAATTGTTATAACCGGTTATGAAATATTATTACATCTTAGTGTAATATTTTTCAAAATTTATTATTGTTACGTCAAAATAAATAAATGAATAAATAAGGAAGGGTACGCAACTCTAATTTAATTTATTTCTATGCTAGAATTAGTAGAGTTTTTAAGTTTTTTGAATCGGTAAATTATACCAATAGTAAGTACAAACGATTAGGTTTCATATTCTGCTTCAGCGTTTTCTTTCTCTTTTTTCACGTATGATTTATTATTTGCACATAATTATTTTTAAATTAACTGGGCATCAGGTCAATTTACACTTAATGTAAATAAGCAAGTTACATTGAGGCAATACGGTTTTATGTTTATTAAATATAATTTAAAGAAATCTTTACATCACAATAAAGTAAAATAATTTTAAAAAAAATAGAATGTTTTTAAATATTTAGTCACTAACACATTCATGGAATCACTAATACGCGGATTCACTGATTCGCTTTCTTTTCTCGCTTCGTTCTTTTCTTCTTGTAATAGCAAAAGTCATTCACTCGTAGATTGTCATAATGATTAACAATTCGCGACGATTCGCGATCTGCGACGGCACAACGATTCCGTGATCTGCGAAATGATGATGATGATTAAAAAAATAATAGTAATGGACTAAAAAATATATAAAATTCCCTAAGTGAAAAAATTTAATCAATCAGTAATTTGATAAATATCGCTACGCAAAAAGAACAAATAACCATAATAAAAAGGCTCTAAATGTTAATAGAAAAGATTTTACATATTTTAACTAAAAAAAAAAGAAAAAAGAAGCGTGATTTATTATTTTTTTTAATGTTTTTTTCCCTATGCCCACCTGGAGAATGACCTTTCGTCAATACAGGCATTTGTTGACCACTCTTTCAGGGGCATCATATTAGGTAGACCAACGTTACTCCCATAGTAAGGACAGATAGTACAGAGAATGAAGGAATATCCATTCCTTGCCCGGGATTCGTACCCAGAACCTTTCTGATCAAAGCCAATTCCCTGACCTTTACTCAGTCCGGTGTGCGTTTTTTAATGTTTTATGTAGGAAATCGGTCTGATCGTTTCGACTTGTAGTCAGCCAGAGAGCAATTAATTCTTATTAAATTTGACTGAAAAACCAACACCTCATTTTGTGATGCTAACTATATTTCTATAAAAATAATAAGAAATTTGTATTAACTTTTAGTATTTTTTCTGTTATCTTTTCAAAAGCCAGATTAGACCACCCCTTGATCGTGATCGCACACCAACACCCGGAATCCATCTTAGTTATTACCCCAGATTTTATATATTAATATCTTTTATATTTAATTTTAAATATATTAAGTCATTAATATATTATTACATTCTACTCACTGTCGTTCTCCAACCCTCGAAACATTCTTTTTTTTTTTCAGATCACTGCGCTCACTTATTTTACTTATGCCATCCACACGGATTACCGATAAGGCAGCACAAAAAATTAAGAACTTATAATAGATTATAATGCACCAAAACTAATTACAATTTTAAACAAAGCAAGACGTGTTGCTCTGTTTGAGACATAGGACATGGCTGCATTCTTTTGCAAATAGTTTTGTCATAATTCTTTTGCAAATAGTTTTCGCAAAACCAAACAATGCGGCGAAAAAAATAAATTAATAAAATTGATATAAAATAACTAAAAAACTTTATGTCCGCATCAATAACATTTTCATATCAGAATCATTTCTCAAAAAGTGTGCTAAATTCCGTATTGTTTCGTCGAATAGTTTTTGCGTTATGATAGTTTACTAAATCAGCGGAGACGCCGGTTGAGGTAGTAATGTTTACTTTTATTTATTTATTGCAGAGAGAGCATAACAAAATTTCACAAATTATTATTTATTCTTCTTATGACTCTCGTAAAAATTGTTGAATTTTTATTATTATAATAGAGACAATTTATCTTTGCGTCTGAATCTAATGTAGGTCATATTTGTCGTGTTCAGAAACACCTGTTAATCAAATATAGCCTATTTTACAACGTCTCCCAACAATTTATTCATTGATTATAATGTCACTTATTTAAACGTGCATTTCATTATCCTTTACTAAAAGTGAAATACTTTTACTTTTGTCTTTTTCCTCCAAAGAATCTTTACTAACTGTTTTTATTTTTTATCATTTTCTTACCAAAAGAAAAAAAAAAGAATATTAGCAGCTGCTTGTCGAATATAGAGTTAGGTAAATGTATAGGCAAAACGGCTATTCGTTTTTTAGGATTCAAACTACTGATCGAATCAATTGGTTTAAGTATTTGAATAATATTGATCTAAATAACGTTTATTCGAATTATTGATGTAAATTAGTTATTCAATAAAAAACTTTATTTTGAACAAAAACCAATCATAATTGAATAAATAATCAATCTCAAGAAACTGTAGCGGTAAGATATGGATTAAAAACTTCATTCGCTTCTAAAATATGCTAATTAGAAATAACATTTGACT